TGATAACGGGATCACATCATTAGGAGAATGATGTGATGGACAAGACCCAATCCTAAGCCTAGCACAAGATCGTGTAGTTCATTTGCTAAAGCTTTTCTAATGTCAAGTATCATTTCCTTAGACCATGAGATTGTGCAACTCCCGGATACCGTAGGCGTGCTTTGGGTGTGCCAAACGTCACAACGTAACTGGGTGGCTATAAAGGTACACTACAGGTATCTCCGAAAGTGTCTGTTGGGTTGGCACGAATCGAGACTGGGATTTGTCACTCCATGTAAACGGAGAGGTATCTCTGGGCCCACTCGGTAGGACATCAAAATAATGTGCACAATGTGACCAAGGAGTTGATCACGGGATGATGTGTTAAGGAACGAGTAAAGAAACTTGCCGGTAACGAGATTGAACAAGGTATCAGATACCGACGATCGAATCTCGGGCAAGTACAATACCGCTGGACAAAGGGAATTGTATACGGGATTGATTGAATCCTCGACATCGTGGTTCATCCGATGAGATCATCGTGGAACATGTGGGAGCTAACATGGGTATCCAAATCCCGCTGTTGGTTATTGGCCGGAGAGTTGTCTCGGTCATGTCTGCATGGTTCCCGAACCCGTAGGGTCTACACACTTAAGGTTCGGTGATGCTAGAGTTGTTATGGGAAATAGTATGTGGTTACCGAAGGTTGTTCGGAGTCCCGGATGAGATCCCGGACATGACGAGGAGCTTCGGAATGGTCCGAAGGTGAAGATCGGTATATTGGACGAAGGGTATTGGAGTCCGGAATTGTTCCGGGGGTACCAGGTGATGACCAGCGTGTCCGAAAGGGGTTTCGGAGGCCCCGACAAGCGTTGGGGGGGCCTTATGGGCCAAGGGGAGAGGGCACATTAGCCCACTAAGGGGCTAAGCGCCCTCCCACCCCATCTCACGTAACCAGGAGAGGTGGGGGCGCCACCCCTAGGGCAGCCGCCCCTCCCGGTTTGGGGGCAAGTTTCCTAGGGGTTGGAGCGCCCAAACCCATCTAGGGTTTCCCCTATGGCCGCCGCCCCTCCCCTAGGGAACCCTAGGGCGCCTCCCCCTCCTCCCTTCCTCCTATAAATAGGGAGGGAGAGAGAGGGCAGCCGCACCCTTCCCTGGCGCAGCCCTCTTCCTCCTCCAACACCTCATCCTCCTCCGTAGTGCTTGGCGAAGCCCTGCCGGAGAACCACGAGCTCCATCACCACCACGCCGTCGTGCTATCAGAGTTTTCCCTCAACTTCTCCTCTCACCTTGCTGGACCAAGAAGGAGGAGACGTCTCCCAACCCTACGTGTGTTGAACGCGGAGGTGTCGTCCGTTCGGCGCTAGGATCATCAGTGATTTGGATCACGACGAGTACGACTCCATCAACCCCGAACACTTGAACGCTTCCGCTTAGCGATCTACAAGGGTATGTAGATGCACTCTCCTTCCCCTCGTTGCTAGATTACTCCATAGATTGATCTTGGTGATGCGTAGAAAATTTTAAATTTCTGCTACGATCCCCAACAGAAGGTTATACAAACATAGAGTCACAGGCTAGGTGCTATGGTTGCTGCTCTGCTCCCCAAAAGGATTAATGCCATCTGCGCTTAGACCAAACCATACGTTCCTTGCGTCATCTGCAAACTCCTTCCTGTACTTTTTTTGATTTTTCTCCATTGCGACCCATCAGCGGGTACTCTCAACTTTCCGTCTTTCTTACGATCTTCTCTGTGTCATCGCATCGCCTTGGCATTCTCTTTGTTTTAAAACAAACGTTTCAACCGTGGTATTATAGGAGCATACCACATCACCTTGGCAGGAATCTTCTTTCTGGGGCGCTCGCCCTCGACATCGCCAGGGTCATCGCGTCTGATCTTATAGCACAATGAACCACATACTAGGCAAGCGTTCAAGGATGCAATCATTAGGGCATGCATGTATCTTCTGCACCTCTAACCCTAGAGGGCAGACAGCCTTCTTTGCTTCGTACGTACTCTCGGGCAATTCGTTGTCCTTTGGAAGCATATTCTTTATCATTACCAGCAACTTTCCAAATCCCTTGTCAGATACACCATTCTCTGCCTTCCATTGTAGCAATTCCAGTGTGGTGCCCAGCTTTTTCTTGTCACCTACGCAATTCAGGTACAACAATTTTTTGTGATCCTCTAACATGCGCTGCAACTTCTTCTTCTCCAAATCACTTGCGCAGTTTCTCTTTGCATCGGCAATGGCCCGACCTAGATCATCAACGGGCTCATCCGATGCCTCTTCTTCAGCTTCTTCCCGCATTTCCGGCTCAGCTTCTTCCCGCATTACCGGCTCAGCTTCTTCCCTCATTGTTGTATCATCGTATTCAGGGAACCCATGGCCAGGATAGCTGTCGTCATCCTCTTCTTCTTCATTGTCTTCCATCATAACCCCTTTTTCTCCATGTTTGGTCCAAACATTATAGTGGGGCATGAAACCAGACTCAAACGGGTGGACGTGAATGGTTCTTGATGTAGAGTAATTGTGACCATTCTTACAGCCAGCACATGGACAAGGCATAAAACCATCCGCCCGCTTGTTTGCCTCAGCCGCAAGCAGAAAAGTACGCACACCATTAATGAACTCGGGACAACATCGGTCATCGTATATCCATTGTCAGCTCATCTTCAAACACAGCACCGAAAACACCAAATTAATACAATACATAAAGTTCATACATAAAGATCATACAACACTTAAATGCAACAAACAAATAACTCTCTAACTAAAGAATTTAAATGCAACAACAAATGCGATCAAGATCGCAACTAAGGTAACAATTGATCCAACAACATAATGATACCAAGCCTCACTATGAATGGCATATTTTCTAATCTTTATAATCTTCAAGCGCATTTTCTCCATCTTAATATTGTGATCATCGACGACATCGGCAACATGCAACTCCAATTCCATCTTCTCCCCCTCAATTCTTTTCAATTTTTCCTTCAAATCCTCGTTTTCTCTTTCAACTAAATTTAACCTCTCGACAATAGGGTCGGTTGGAATTTCCGGTTCAACTACCTCCTACATACAAATATCTATGTCAACTTGATGGGCATAATTTATCATAAACACGAAATGCAATGAATAGTTTTAAAAGAGAATATACCACATCCGAATCATAACCCGGACGAGGGCCGACGGGGACGGATATCAAAACCATGGCACTATGTATAACAAACAACGTATGGGTAAGATAATTATACGAGTAACTATATATCCAAATCACACAAACATCAATTTTTCATATAAAACTTCATGAACAAGAGGATCACCACAAGGTGGTGCCGGCGACGGGACGTTGCGAGCGATTGACGGTGGTTGCGACGGAGATTTAGAAGGTACTAAGTAAACCACACCTACATATGCAAACTAAGTATTATTTTTTACCTCAAATTGCATATAAATCAAATACTAGCACACATATATAATTCCTCCCAAATTACTAAACTCAAAAATCAATCACTATATAAAGCATTGCACGAGGTAATCTAGCAATGAGAGATGAAAGGACAAAGTTGCTAACCTTTGTGATCATTTGAATGGATGGGGGCCTTCAAATCTTGACAAATTTTGGGCAAAATGTGTGATCAGCTTGAGAGAAAGAGGGAAAAGAACAGAGAGGAGAGGGGAAAGGGGAAGAACAGAGCGAGCTCGGGTGGACGAAGGGTCTATGTAGGACGACCTTTAGTATCGGTTCGTGACACGGCCCGGGACTAAAGGTGCTGGAGGGGCCCCGGACTGACAACATCCTGCCACCACTCACTTTAGTACCGGTTCGTGGCACGAACCGGTGCTAAAGGTTCGCCACGAATCGGTACTAATGAGAGCGGCCAGCTAGCCGTTGGAACCGGCACTAATGCACATATTAGTGCCGGCTCAAATTCAAACCGGCACTAATGTGCTTCACATTTGACCCTTTTTCTACTAGTGGAAGCAGCACCCTGTAATCGAGATCAACATCATTAATAGCAATCAAGAAGGAGTAGACTTTTACCTCCACGTGAGAGGCCGAATCTGGGTAAACACGTGTATCTCGTTTCCAATCAACCCCATCCAAGCCTTCACCTACCAACAATGACCTCACAACGTAGTTCTCCTATGAAGACATCTGCTGTGACAAAACCACGACACCCACCGGCAAGCCAAGGCTTGCCGCGCCGCCGCCTCGCGCCCGCAACGTCGCTGCCGTTCCGTGCCCGCGCCTGCGCGTGCAACGCGCTATCCCGCGTCCACGCCTACAACGCCACCGTATCGTGCCCGCACCTGCAGCGCCGCCGCCCCCGCCTACCGAAAGCTCTCCTTGCGGCACCGCCACCCCACACCATCACTGCTGCCTCCCTTCCCCTGAGGGGCGTCGCCGCCCCGTCGTCGCCATGGAACTTGGGCTCGTCCAGCCCACCCCCAACCGCCGGCTACAACACCGTTGCAGGAAGAAGAAAAGATGAGTGAAAATAGATGAGGGGCTGACTGGTGGGCCCATCTTCCACCTTAGCATACTGTCCATGTAGGCATACCAAATCAGCTTGACATGTGGGCCGGTTCCGAATTAGTGTCATTTCTTACTCACTTGCCGTAGAGTTGGCGGTTTTTTGTGGTTTTCGACAAAAATGGTGGTAAAGGAATACTCTAGCCACAAATGTGATGGTTTTGAGCAATTTACTCCGATGTCGAGCATCTGATGTCCTGGTCGAGTCTCAAGAGTCGTGAACCCACAACACTCAACCCCCACTGCAGAGTACCATCGATCATCAACGATGTTGAGTACTTCTGTGCGTGGAAACACATGGCACATGCCCGAGAGTTTGTGTGGCTTCGACAAGACTCTGACGCAGGGCTCTATTTGATGAATACTAAAAATCAATGACAGTTTGCGCACAATATTTGGAGGCCTTAATTAGCCTTACACACTGCCCCTCTGTCAATCGACGATCTAGGGAGGTATCGCACACGCCAGACGCGACTGCTTCATGCGTGCTGCAGCAGCATCGCGTTGAGGATGTGGTTCCACGCGTCCGGCAGCCCGGCGATGCACCAGTGCGTGCAGTCCATGCCGTCCCGGCCAGGCCCGCCGTAAACCGACGGGTGCGCGTCGATCCTGAGCTGCGAGAGCGAGGTGATGTCCAGCAGGGACACCGGCGTCGACATGGACGCGATCAGGCCCCGCACGACCACCTGCTCCGGGGACACCCTCTCGTCCCCGTCCGTGGCCACCTGCCGCGGCCGTGTCTGCTGGAAACAGCCCCCCGACGCCGGCGCCGCCCCGTCGCTCTCCTGCTCCTTGGACCTACCAGTTGCACATGTAGAGCAGAGCGGCATCAAGAAATGAGTATGCCCGGCCAATGTCAAATCAACTGGGCGTGATGAGCGAGCTCACGTGTAGTGGCTTGGGGAGACGCCTTGGTAGATGACCCTGGTGAGCGACGCGTCGACGTTGTCGTCGACCCACCTTGCCCATGTGGCGAGGCCCTTGGAGAAGGCGGCCAGCCGGTCCATGTCGTTGTACGTTCTGTTCCCCTCCTGCATGTAGTCCCACCTGCGCATGAAACGGTCGAGGAAAGAGTTTGTATCCGTATATTTCGCGGTATGTGTACGTGTATAGGTATACAATACAACGTTGGGCAGAGTGGTGGGTACGTACACTTGGCTGGCGCCCTTGTAGGTCCACCAGTGCCACGTGTTGAAGACGAGCAGGTGGGCGCCGAGCCAGGAGCCCGCGCCCTGCATGGAGTCGAGCTTGAGGACGCGGCCGACGTCCTCCTGCACCACGTCCACCAGGAACCTGCTGAAGTAGAGCACCACCGACAGGTCGTAGTCCTCGAAGCGGACGGAGGAGACGGGGTCGCCGGTGCTGAAGGAGACGCGGGCGGGATCCGGCGCGGCGGCGTGGAGCATGCAGGCGAGGGAGACCCATTGGTTCATGCTCAGCGAGTCCCCCACGAACATCACCGTCTTCCCGCGCCACGTCTCCAGGAATTCCAGCCCGTCGAACCTGCCCCGATCAAAAGACCCTGTTAGTACATTGTGTGCCGAGTGTTCATCGGGTGGCTGTCTATAACGACGGTAGTAGTAGTAGTACCTTGGGAGGCGGCAGGCGGCGGGGCTCCACCGGAACTTGAGGTAGGCGGCGTCCGGGCGGCCGTTGCGGCGGCAGTCGAAGACGTCGGGCACGAAGGGGCAGCTGGCCGCGTCGTACAGAGGGTAGGACGCGTCGGCGACCCACCTCCCCTGGAACAGGTCGCACGACGACCCATCAGCCACGCTCGGCGCAGCCGCTGCCGCGAGCACTAGGATGGCCGCCAGCGCGCAGCCATGGCGGAACCTGGCACGCAGCGAAGGCAGCGCCAGGTCCTCCTGGCCCATGGTTTACGCGACGAGACGGCGGGCACGGCACGACGCCATATATAGGCCAGAACGCGTGGTTCTGAAGCAGATCTGGCCGCGGCCACGCACGCACGGGTGCCGATGGCGTGCGCGCAGGCAGTAGTACTTCATGCTAGGAGTGCGACTCAAGTTAGGAACCGCTCTGCACGGTGTGTGTGACTGTGTTCCGAACAGGCGCGTCAAGTTTCGTCGTCCTGCACATGTGCGCGGGAGAGGGAAGGCGACTGGGGTTTGACCTCGGCCCCGCTTATCCGGGCGGGGCACGTGAGAGGGGGCGCGAGAAAATTAGGTATGTGCAGCGTGCGGATCTCAAAGTACTTCGGTGCGTGCGTGGGAGTCGTAGATGGATTAGTAAAGGGCAGGATCGAGGACGGAAGGTCCCGTGTACGATCTCTAACAAATTCTGTTGTACTATATATGCGAAGTTTTTTTTTAGCATCAGTATAGACATAAACGCTCATATACACGCGCATACACCCATCCCTATAAACGCACACACGCACACCCTACCCCTATGAGCACCTCTGAGAGACTGAGCCGGCAAATCTTCTTGAGATTTACAAAGTCACCGTAGACGCCTCGTCGTCGACGGGAACGTCTCCTCCCACTGAAAGCGCATCGCCGGAAGTCCTGAAATAAATCCAGAAATAATGCGAGCACCAGGATTTGAACCCTGGTGGGTTGGGGATACCACTGTCCATCTAACCATCTCAACCACAGGTTGATTCGCGTACTATATGCGAAGTTTGATGGTAAAGAGACAGTGGTATTTTTTATCCATCAGGGTTTAAGCTCTGGTTCTCGCATTATTTTTTGATTTATTTTAAAAATTTCGGCGATATGCTTTCAGTGGAAGAAAACATTCCATCAACGACGAGACGCCTACGATGACTCGTAAATCTCAAAATGATATGCCGGCTCAGTCTCTCGAAAGTGCTTATAAGGGTAAGATGTGCATATGTGTTCATAGAGATGAGTATATGCGTGTATGTATGAGCGCTTGTGCTTGTACTGTGTTAAAAAAAAAGCAAATTTTGAATATCATCTCGTCGTGAAAAGTAACCGCCTTTTTACAGGACAGGGATGAAAAATCATCCTGACTAGGTCCTGCAAAACGGTTTGTCCTGTAAATTTTCTTGAGGGCACATGTATATTTCAGCCCCTATCTGTGATATTTTTAGTTTTCTTTCCTCATTTAACAGTTTCTTCTATCCCTCGGATGACTTGGCCGAAGGGAAATTTCAGCCCCAACCATTCCTGCCATGGTCGGCATCAACGGCGCCGCCGCCTCCCGAGCTCGATTCCAACCAAATGGAAGAGAAGCGGTACGGCGAGGGCGTGGTCGAATCAAGCAACAAAAGTAGGGCGCGATCGCGGCAGCCCCGCGCAGCCTGTCGTAGTGGGAAGCGAAGCTCGTACAGGAGCTCCAGGCGGCCGGCGCGGCACAGAGCTCGTACAGGAGCTCGAGGAGTCCTGCGGGGCATCTCGACCGTGGCTAGCTGGAGCTCGGGGCGGCCGGCACGACGCGGAGCTCATACAGGAGGTCGAGGCAGCCGGCGCGCGACGCGGAGCTCGTACAGGAGCTCGAGATGGCCGTCACGCCGCGGAGCTCCTACATGAGGCGGCCGCGGCGCGGAGCTCGTACAGGAGCTCGAGACGGCTGAAGCGGAGCTCGTACAGACCCGTGCTTGTCATGCCATGGAGCGGCCCGAACTCAATTGTAATCTAGATTTCATTTTAGGGTGTTTTGTGATATTTTTAGGGACCTTGTTGTAAATATAACTACTAACAAATGGGCTCCACGGTTGACATGGAAGATTTTTACGAGATCTATTCTGGCGAAACACATCCTATACTGTAAAAACGTGTAAAAACTATTTTGCGGGATCCTGTAGACCGATTTTGCCGTATGAGATTATAAGGGATCTACTCCCTCCGTCCGCGAAAAGTTATGCACGCCTTAGTTCATTTACAATTTTTCAAAAAAAAAACCTTCATCTTTTAAACTTATGCTAATCAGCCCCCCTCTGCTTCTTCCTCCTTCCGCCGTCGTCCGCGCGCACCGTGGTCCCCTCTACCACCGTCGGCACCAGCAGGGACCAGCGCGCGACGACGACCAACCTGCGCCACCGCGCGAACCTTCGTTGCCCCTGCCCACCTGTGCCGCCCACACGGAGACGAGTTGCGTCGCCCGCCGGCCACCTACTCCTCCGCGGCGACCACCTTGATGGGCGACGGCTCCACGGCTGAAGGGTGCTGTGCCGCTATCCCCTCCCGCGGTGACCCCTCCCGCCAGCCCAGTGATGCGCCGCCGCTATCCCCTCCCGCCGCCCAGGGCCTGCGCCGCCGCTATCCCTTCCCGCCGTCCAGGACTTGCGCGCGCATGCGTCTCGAGCACCTGGAGCTGGAGCTCCCGGCGGGCCTTGACCTCAAGCTTGTCCTCAAGCTCCCAGCGGGCCTGCTCCTGTGCAAGTTGCTGCTCCTGCGCCTGTAGCTCCCCTGCTCGTGTTGCTGCCAGTGAGAAGAAGCACCCCTCTATAAATCTGCTCCTCTGCCTGCTTGCTCGTGGTGCTCCAATTTCTGTACGTTGTAATTTCAAACACTACTCATCATGTTCACTGAACAAAATTGATCTGCTTTTAAGAAAACTAATCATGTTCTCTGAAGAAAATTGATCTGCTATTAAGAAAACTGAACATGTTCTCTGGACTGATAGCATCAAGTTAACTGGATGCATCAAGAGCAATTGGTCCAGATTTTGGCAAAATTACAAGTTAACTAAATGCATCATCAAGAGCAACTGGACCAGATTGTTGTTGGTATGGTCTAAAATGGGAGAAGGAAAAAATGTTATGCCTCTGTCAATTCTTGAATTATTCATAGTATTTGAATTATTTAGATATTCATGTTCTGTATCCAGGATAATGCACAATTGCAGTGTCCATGGATCACAGGATAATCAATTGCGGTGTTAAATTCAGCCGGTGTGTACTCCAAGTAGTGATGTTAAATTCAGTCATCAAAATATAGTCAATTTTTCTACACAATCTGCAGATGAGTGCAAATTCAATCAATAACTTGCACTAAGGAATTTATTCTCCAGGTAGAGATGAGTGTAAAAATGGTCCAATAATAGTAGTGTCATGGGTGAGCTAAGGATTATGCAGATGAGTGTAAAAATTAAGTTGCCAGGCAGATAATGGTCCAATAATAGTAGTGTCATCCTGTTTTTGCTAATTTATCATTGCGAAGCACTTGGTACAAAGCTGGCATCCTGCCAAGGAAGACAATGAACTATTTTGTGTTTTATTAGCAGAGAAGATAATGCAAACTAACTAGCCTGCATTGGAAAAGACAACATGTAGATGAGTGTAAAAATGGATATGGTCCAATAATAGTAGTGTCATGGTGTGCTACAGATTCATGTATAATTTGGAATATTGTTGGATCATCTCCATTTTTACACTCATCTGCATGTTAGAAAAGACAACTCCGGATAATTCAAGTTAACTGAATTAAATCTTGTTACTATCAACTCTGAAAAATTGAAGATTTTTTAATCTGCACGTACCCTGTTCGAAATCGATTTGCAGGACATCCTGTTGGCTTTCTTCTTGTGGATCAACGTCTTCACCTTCATCAACGTCTTCTGCGGGCCAGACAAAACAGGACAAATTGCATTCAGTAAAGGAAACTTTTGACTAATTTTTTGTAAAACAAGAGGACACCATCTATCACCACATGTTCCTGGTTGAACCAATGTCACCACATGGTGTGATTGGAATACAAGAAAAATAAGAATGTAAGAAAGTTTACTAGCAGTGAGCAGTGAGCAGGGAGACATACATCACTTTTAAAATGCTAGCTTTAGAAAATTCAGTTAGCAGTGAGCAGTGAAGACAGGCGTAGTCCAATAATCATCTTCTTAGTTGAAAGCATTTTATTCATATAGTCCTAAAATTTCTACACACATATTGGGCAAGCAATATTCCTAAAATTTCTACAATCACAGTATATTTGGTAAACGCAAATTTGGCACTCATGAAACAAGTCTTGGTCAATGCAACTATGTGCTGCTAGTGCCTTTTGTCTTTGTGGTTGGGCACAGTTTGGCACAATCTGGTCACCTGACCAAAACAAAAGGTGGGCAGATGTCTTGAGTGGAGGAAATATGCCCTAGAGGCAATAAAAAAGTTGTTATTTATATTTCCTTATATCATGATAAATATTTATTATTCATGCTAGAATTGTATTAGCCGAAAACTTAGTACATGCGTGAATACATAGACAAACAGAGTGTCCCTAGTTTGCCTCTACTTGACTAGCTCGTTAATCAAAGATGGTTAAGTTTCCTAGCCATGGACATGTGTTGTTATTTGATGAACGAGATCAAATTATTAGAGAATGATGTGATGGACAAGACCCATCCGTTAGCTTAGCACTACGATCGTTTAGTTTATTGCTATAGCTTTCTTCATGACTTATACATGTTCCTATGACTATAAGATTATGCAACTCCCGAATACTAGAGGAACACCTTGTGTGCTATCAAACGTCACAACGTAACTGAATGATTATAAAGATGCTCTATGATAACCCACAAGTGCAGGGGATCGCAACAGTTTTCGAGGGTAGAGTATTCAACCCAAATTTATTGATTCGACACAAGAGGAGCCAAAGAATATTCTCAAGTATTAGTAGCTGAGTTGTCAATTCAACCACACCTGGAAACTTAATATCTGCAGCAAAGTGTTTAGTAGCAAAGTAATATGATAGTAGTGGTAACTGTAGCAAAAGGTAACGGTAGCAAAAGTAATGTTTTTTGTATTTTGTAGTGATGATAGCATGTAACGCCCTCTATGCGGCCATATCTCCCACATATCGAAGCACGACTTCGAGGCAAAACCGCATTGAAAGCAATGTCGCAAGTGAGGTAATCTTCACACAACCCATGTAATGCATAAGGGAAAGAGATACAT